TTGTTGTTGTTGTTGTTGTTGTTGTTGTTGTTGTTGTTGTTGTTGTTGTTGTTGTTGTTGTGGCGGGAGCGGTGGCAGTGGTGGTTAAGGTATATATGATGCCATTATTTCGTTCCTGTAAGAAGAGTAAATAAGGTTGAATCATTGCATGAATTTGTAGCATCGTCTTTTTGCATATCCAAGTATGATAACCTTGTAATGGTTTATGTTGCTTCTGCGGAACATTAGACAAATGTTTATCTTTAGCATAAAAGACAAGGAAAAATTGCCCCTTTTACAAACTGCATCTAGAATCAAGTGTTCGTCGATATATACAGTTATGTGCTACTTGCCATCATTTGCGTGCTTTCTGTTTCATGAGCTTATTTTTAGCTTCACTAAAATTAACTTGCGGCTAAATGTATCATGAGGTTTATGTTAGTTCAATTTCCATTACATCAATTTCCCATTTTAACGTTTGCAAGCTAGCAATCTTGGTTGAATATGATCAGAAATACTATATTCTGTATGTCCGTGTATTTTCAGATTTATTAAGGCGAGTACGAGCGGTGATTTTACACATGCCGCCACATGCGATACATCACCCCTACCATCGTACATTTTTCTCCCTCATCCTTCACGCCCTACAACATAATACGTGCTCTCGATACCCGTGCCTATATGTCACGAAGATGTCACGCTTCATATCTCTATCAGCGTATGCTCCTTCCCCTGCTGCCCATATATCACCCCCCAAGGGCTTCAGATTGAACGACATGATGTTCTACTCCCTCCCACGTACATGTGGGAATGCGAAGAGTGCATCGTCGCTTCCCGGCATTATTTAAGTGCGCTAACATAACAATTAACAGAACGGTCATTAAGAGACCTAACTCTTAACTAAATGTCTGCTCTTCGTTCCTCGTGACTCTCGCGTGATACTCACGTAGGGCAGGACTGCTCATCTCCCGTTTGCTTTCGATGCGCATCTTCTGCAGGCTGGAGGCGAACGCGAAGAGACTGAGTAGTATCACAGATAACGCACATATCCTGTACCACCAGGACACCTTCAATAAATAATCCTTGTTGTACCCGACCACCTTCTCCCAGTCCGTTCGAATTTTGCCGCCCTTTGCTATCCGCCACATGATTCTGAAAGAAACAGTACGAGCCATTAAGAAACTATAGACCTTATACCCTAAAATGAAAGCATTACAGCACTCGTCAAGGTCAGCCATGACGTCATCTGTTCGAGACTGATCGTTGTGATATTGAGCACGGACAGATGGCACGCTATACTTTCTCGTGTAAAAAATATATTACTACCACGCGATTTATTTTCGGTTCGTGAACGTAGTTCAATGATAACAGAAAGACGAGAAAAATCCCATGAACAAATAAGACTACTATCGTTCCCACACCGACGTCGCTCTCTACGGAGACTCCCGCCACGGAGGTGAACAGTTCCGGCGCGGACGAGCCAGCGGCCATAAACGTTGCCCCGGCAACGTCCTCCGATAGCTCCAGCTTCTCGGATATTGCTTCGAGTGATGGCACGAAGAAATCATCACATATTATTGCTAGTGCTGAAACGAAACAGCAACGCGTGAGCGTACAGGCAGCCGAGGGAAAGTACAGGTGAGTAACAATGACAACGCCTTATGTAACGTTGTTGTGAGTATTTAGATATATATGCAAAGGCCATCCATCATTCGCAGGACGAAAATGTTTAAAAAAATCAACATATCAGCTATATATCACGCAGAAAAAGCTTTACTAGCAGGCCAATTCTGTATAACACAGGCATTGTCTAAAGGGGGCTCTGGCTGTCCTTTTCTCGGCCAAAATCTTTCAAACACCCTTTATTGTTACACAGTTACATAGTCCCATATACTATCTCAAGCATTCCTCACTTAATATATACCCGCATAAAACGAGCGTGTTACCAAAGTTATATTAAACCGTCTATATTCTCTGTATAAACCGTAACGTCAAGTCTAACCTATAATGTCGATTTACCCGGCTGCATTGTTCTATAAGCAGTATGAAATTACAAGGCACGTCTTGTTAATTAAATATTACAATTTCGGTCAATGTATTCGTTCAGGCCGTGGCAGTGACGATCATGATGTCAGTGACGATGACGATGTTGGCGGTAGCAGCGTCTCTAGCCGTCACCGTTACTGTCAGGCTGGTCAAACTGTCAACTATCAACTGTCAACTGGGTAACTGTCAGACTGTTACTGTCATACGGGTCAACCTCCCAACTGTCAACTGTCAACTGGGATACTGTCAAACTGTGACTGTCAAACGGGTTAACCTCTCAACTGCTGAACTCATGAAATTGTCAACTGTCAACTGGTCAAAAGAACTTCTAACTTCAACAAAATTTCTCCCAAACAATCCAACAACTATGACAACGAAGTACAGAAGAGCTCAAACGTAGTTGTCGCGTGATGATCAGGCTCGTAATCACGCTGCCAGTGTCACTCTAGCATGAATCTTCCATCCGACTCACCTACGAAGGTGATGAGTATGGCGAAGAGATAGAACACGAGCCAGCAGTAGGTACAGTGAGCGAGCTCGTAGTCACAGCGTTCCCACTCCACGACCTTCTTCCCGTGTGGCTTGCTTGTCGCCGAGTGAAGATCATCGATGGCCTCTGCGTTCGTCGACTGCGATAGCATGTGACGACCAAATGGAAATGCTAGAACGAGAAACGGCGCGCGGCGCTTAGCGTGGTGTAAAGATTGTAATCGGCGAATCCGGACGTACGCACGCACGCACGCACGCACGCACGCACGCACGCACGCACGTACGCACACAGATTTATACAGTTCTTATATATCGTCGCGGGTAAAAACCGCTTCCGCGGGCTATGATTTCACTTATATCGTTTCTTTCGGTATAAACACTTTTCAGCAGTTTGTTTCTCAACGAAAGCGAGAAAAAACGTTTTCCCTCGGTTCAACTACAAGCACGCCTTATATCGACGCTGTCTGCTCGCATGCAGCAGCAGCACGAAGCTTTCGCTCCGAGCGCGGCGGCCGCCACATGTACGAAGCCGAATCGTCGCACAAGACATCTCGTACTTCTTAAATAGTTTCCGACCCCGCCATCTGGAATCGTTGGTATACCTAGCACAGCTGCCCTGTCAGTGAGCAGGGCTCCCCGAGTCTCTCTCTCTCGCGCGCGCGCTCTCTCTCTCTCTCTCTCTCTCTCTCTCTCTCTTCTCTCGCTCTCCCTCTCTCTCTCCCTCTCTCTCTCTCTTCCTCTGTCTCACCCTCTC